GGGAATGGGCTGATTGTAATCCTCTGCCAGTGAGTGTCAGACAGGCTGCCAGACTCTGTTGTGAAAAACACCAGTTTAACGTGGCCAACATGGCAGCCATAATGGGTCGTTGCTGTAAGTCTGTTTATATATGTAACTGTAACAGGTTTAGTCATTTAGTAGCTGGGTTTTACTGAGTCGGAAAAACTAAAATGAAACTGCACAATAAAGCATATTTTAAGTAAATATTTGAATTCACAGAGAATTTGTCTATGATTAAAAATATTACATGTGATTGTGCTGCGTTAGTACTCAGAAGAAGTGAGAATTTAAACATCTGCAATTCCGTGACAACGGCGCAAACACAGAAGACCAGGTGTTTTCTCAACCAAGTGCATAATAGACCTTTTTCACAGCAGTCATTTTGGCATGAAATAGTAGGGTAAACACGTGTTACTAATGATACTAATTAAGGTTCCTTTCCATTTAGTGTAGCAGAGCCTTTGTGGCGGGGGGCAACATGCACAATAGCAGTACCCTGACTACGTTCGCCCTACTATTTCTTGTCAAAATGGCTGCTGTGAAAACGATCTGTTGTTGCTTTCTACATTATTTTAAATCAATTTCACACACACATACTGTATATATACATACAAACATTTACTGTCCTGCTCCACAGAATCCTGTTGTTCAATATTATGTACTAATTCTCATTTAATTTACCTTCAATATAATCCTCCATACTAAGTCGTACTTGTGCACCTGAATATGTAACTCAACAGATCATCATGCAAATCTTGCTGATGCTTCATCTAATGCAGAAACTTGGCCTGTGGGCGATCTGGCCAAAAAATAATATCACAGTCTTTAATCTTTAATCATGATCCACAATCAAAATTACAATCTTTTTTCTCAATTTTCAAATGTCCTGTATATATAGACTCAAAATAGCCTATGAGTTTCCACCATTAAAGGTCCAGTGTGTAACATTTGGGAGGGTATACCTGCAGAGATGGAATATGATATTCATAGGTATGTTTTCATTAGTGTATAATTACCCGAATATAGGAATTGCTGTGTTTTCATTACCTTAGAATGATACATTTCTAATCTACCTCAGACGCTGCAGGTGGCCTCCCATGCTCCCATCAGCATAGCCATCTAGTTGGCTACATCACAGTTCATAGCACAGATCCATTATGTTATGTGAAGTTTCTAAACGGAAGTAGGAGGACATTAAATACCAGAAACTCTACAATTCACCTGAAAAGTAGATTGTGGACGCTGTAGATCATGATCTTGATCTACAATCAGAAGATTGCCCTCCTCTATGCTAAAGTCTGTACTGATGGAAGCTCTGCCTCTAATAAACAGCTCAGGATGTGTGGAGGTCCTCACTCCAGTAAAGCGTTCACCCCAACCATGTAGAGTGTTTAAATAAAGTTTAAAGAATAAACCTCAAGTCCATACAAAATATATTAAGAAGGCAGCTTTCTTCACATGTAGGGCCATGTGTGTGGTCATATGTCTGTGCACTGTATGCAACACACTTCACTTTCTTCCTAAAGCAGTCCTAAACAATAATCCCTCTTATTATCATCATTGTGTTTAGACGGGTTTAACCTGACTACTCTCCTCATCCGAGGTAATGAAGATGCAACTCTGAGAACAGTTAAAGCAATGCTAAATAGGGCCAAACAGGTGATCAGGCAACAGGGCAAAAAGGATCCGGAGAGAGAGGAGAGGGGAGGAGGGGCGGGGTGAGCAGGTGAGCGTCACAATGAGTTTGACTCTGGCTCCAGTTGTTGCTGGCTTTCATCAGTGCAGCACGCGGAGGGACAGCAGCAGCTCCTGGGCCATATGATCTGTTCCAGCTCTGCAACAGCCAGCAGCACGGACCGGGACTCAGACATGATCCTGCCACAGGTCAGACTCACCTTTTAGGTCCTCGCAATGACAAATAATGCTGCTTTTTCTTCGTTTGGCTTATTTTGCTTAAATTATAAAGGGCTGTGGGTGAGGTTTATGTTGCAAAACAGGAAAAGACAGTGTGACACTTCAATGCACTTGATGCAATAGTTGGATCTTTAATATGCATGGATGTTTGACATAAAAGTAGGAATTGTAAGAATATTGAGCACAATTTTGCACAACATTTCCTAGCACACAATATATTGTCAACATTGTTGTGTGGTTTTCTGTCTGGTCCTAAAGTTGTTGAACTCTGTAGATGTACCACATGTGACAGAGAGAAACAGAAGCTCATTTCAAAACCATGTGTACATATCTGCTTTTTATTCAATTTAGAACCATCTCTCTTTTTCTATTTCATGTATTTGGTGGGTTTTATTTTATATTTACTGTGGCATATTTTTTTGTGTTGGCTTTACTTAATTTTGCCTTTATACTGTGTGATTAACAAAAGTGGTTTTGTTATAATGATATCCTTTACAGCTCAGATTTTCTACATAAGAAAGAACATTGTGAATGATATAAATGACAAGTGTTGGACCATCACAAAGTTAGTTGAGGTCATGAGTGAAAGGAATGCCGAGACCATGACAGGGATTTGGGGAGATTAGTTGGCTTAGTGAGCTCAACATAGAGACAGAACAAAAAGTGCAGGACAACGCAAAATGCCATGAAAACAATGACGGAGCAGCAAAAAGAGCATCCAGATCAGCATAGCAAGCTGTGCGCTGACACCGTTCACAGCGCAGGGCTGAATAATGAGGCTGCTATAGTGATGTGTAAAGTAGGCACCTAATGCAAATACTCCCAGAGAAAAACATGTTTTAACTGAAGGGAGTGATTCTATACAAAAGTTCCTATATTGCTGCCTGAGCATTTCACTCATTCCTAAACAGTTCTTTAGAACAGCATGAAGGTAATGGATATATGCTGATCCACATAGAACTGTCTATACAATATGTAAAAGTGTCTTTAGTGCAGCAAAAGGCTCTGTTAGAGCTTAAACCATTTGCTATGGAGTGCTGCAAGGATGACATTTTTGTAGGCCAACCCAGAAGTCAGCATCGCCCTGGTTCCTTCGACAAAAAGCCAAATACATTTTTCCATTTTGTATTATTGCAGAAATGGTTTATGATACCTAAATCCTCACAAATGAACACCACTTTCAAGATTTTTTAAACGTGAATGTGATCGCTACAAGTAAAAAGTTAGTTAGGCTATAACCGAACTACACCGTGTTTGCATTACTTCAACGTTACTACCACTAAACTTCCAACATATTCAAACTTGTAATTAAAATCTACAAGTTGTGAAAGTTTGAGTAGGAATAGTTAGAATAATAAACACAGCAAGGCTGTAATAGTAGACCAGTAAGTGCATAAGTCTCAGTGTCTGGCGTGCTGACTTAAAAGCTTCAAACTGTATTAATTTATGTTGTAGAACAAAACGTGAAAATCTCTTAAACTTGCGTTAACCACAGACCTTATTTCAAGCATCTAACCAAAAATACATTCAAAAAACTTCAAGAAGAGGGAACTGGAGGTGCTGAAATGCTAACTCATTTCTGCAACACTCTATACTAAGCTTTATTTAAGAACATGTGAATCTACCATATTGTCTAAATAAGGAATTAATCATAATCATTGAAACCTATGTATTACAGACTAGGTTTAAGGCACTTGCAGGGGTTTCCCCAATGTTACAGTAAACAGTTAGTAGCAGGCAGGTTTCAGGGTATCCAGCTGGCATCAGACGACCAGATAGGTGTATTCCTTACACTCATCTCACGGACTGTTGGTAATCAAAGCCAAAGTCAAACAAGGGTTTATCTGCGTATAAGATCTTGTTAAAGACAAAATTATAAAATCAAAAGACCAAAAGTTTTGAGGTTATCTTATAAAAAACAATAATTATTTTGCTGATGAAATCACTGTCATGTCTAAATGTCTTAAGCTTGCAACTGTAAACTAAATGTCCCCAACTGAAATCACAGTAACTGTCCTTCAAGTGTGGCATTCCCTGCTCTGTTCTTTTTCTAGATGGCAGAAGTGTGAGACAACAACAAATGGCTTCCACAGGGAGTGGCCTCCGTAAGTCGTTTTTTATATCCCGCCGTGGGATTATGGTTTACTTTTCAAAATATTAAACTGAGGGCAGTTCCTGTACATTTTCCACCAGTTTAGTTCATTAAAATGTTAGGTTATTGGTGTCCATTTTTATTCATGTCAGAACAATATCTGAATGATCCTGGGCATTTTCAACAAACATGCTAAAGATACACATTTAAATATTAAATATTGACTCAAAATATGATTCACAGCTTGAAACATATCTTGCAAAGTAGACATCCTATTTTCATTTTTTTTTAATTATTTGACACACAAAGGAATACAAGCTTTTGTAAGGAAGTTCAGGAGTGCAATAGAAAGATATAGTAATTTGACGATGGGTGATAAAATTTACATATAATAAAACATTTTCATGTTCAAATCATTGTACAATTTGCATTAAAGGTACAGTGTGAAAGGGTTAGGGTTAGGGTTAGAATGGAGAAGGGTTAGGGTGCAGAAATGGAATATCATATTTATAAGTATGTTTTCATTAGTGTATAATCACCTGAATATAGCAATCATTGTGTTTTCGCTAACTTAGAAGTAGCCTTTTATATTTATCGCCACAGCAGGTCACTTTCTATGAATTCGGCCATGTTTAACCACAACATTTCTACAGTTGCCCAGAATGGACAAACCAAACAACGGCTGCAGATAGGGCCTTAACGTAATTTCTCCGAAAACACTTCACCACCCGTTTTCATTCCCAGGTCGTCAAATACAGTCACAAGCAGTGTTCAGTTAGCTACAGTCAACAATGCAACTTAACCGCTAGATGCCACAGAATCCTACACACTGGACCTTTAAAAACATACTTTTGAGTCAAAGTATCATCTAATCATACTATGTTTCTTTTTTTCTTTTTTTTATAATAACGGTGTCCTCTTTTCAGGCATCCGGGGGGATGACAACCTCCAGTCCATGCTTGTGGGGACGGTAATGAGGAAAATCAAGTCTCGTACCTGGAAGAAACAGCGTTACTTCAAACTGCAGGACGACTGCATGACCATCTGGTACAAGTCCAAGAAGGCCGGCAAACCCCACTCCACCTGTAAGAACACATGATTTACTGATGTGATGGACCTCTCTGCTTAGACTCTGAGCCCAGCATGGCGATTATGATAACCCAAATAGAGATGTTTAGTACACAAGACATCACCACATTCAATATAGTAGAATTCAGATAAACTCAGTTTATTTAATTTTCCGGTACCTGATATTTATACCCTTGATATTATATTTATAGTTTTAAACATGGTTTTTAACCAGTAAGAAGAATCAAACTGATAAATCATTTATTTATCCTCAAATTTTATCAATCACTCTAGAGAAAACTATTGGTTTGGGACAGGGGGGTTTGTTTATCCGTTTATTTGTTGTGTCTTTGTGTCTAGTTTCAGTGACCGATGTGGAGGCTATACGGGAGGGCCACCAGTCTGAGGTGCTGCTCAGCATCGCAGATGAGTTCCCAGCTGACCGATGCTTTACGCTGGTCTTCCGTGGTCGCAGGGCCAACCTGGATCTGGTGGCTGAGTCAGCTGATGAAGCGCAGTCCTGGATCAGAGGCATGAGGAAGCTGATTGAGAACCTGGAGAACATGGGGGAGCGAGAGAAACTAGACCAGTATCTTTCACTCAGTGTTTTCATTCACATGCTATCAATGCCTTCAATGTGTTTGCTGGTTTGCAGTCCAACTGAACTCTACACTAGGCACTTCCACTGACTGTTTTCCTCCTGTTTGGTTGGAGTTGTGCTCATTAGCAAAATGATACACTGACAACAAAAAGACTAAAGCCCATCAAGTAGTCAATAAAGGCTGCATTTAACCCGATGGTGGCACTACAGGAAACATGAGGGGGTCACCACACCAAAAACAGTAGGATTCATCCTCAGACAACCATGAATACCATTCATTTCATAGAAATCCATGGCACATTAAAAATAATTCCATCCAGTTTAAATATCTTGTGCCAAAATTGAGAGTCTGACCCAAGGATTTCATTGGCATTTTTGTCAAGTATGAGGAATTACATAACTATTCTTACCAATTACAATGGAAATCCATTGGTTAGTTCTTGAGATACCATATCAAGGACAACCTCCATCCATAGGTGAGACCTGTAGCTCACAAGGTTGAGCAGCAAACCTGCAGCCAAATGGTTCCCAGGGCATCTTCTTGGCAAATGAGCCTTTGCATTTATGATACAGTCAGAACGTTTCTGTTACAATACACATTGTCAATACACATTGAAATTTAATTGTTTGAGAAGTAAAAATACATAACTTACTGGAACGTTTATTGTGCTGTGTTCCTGAGCAGTCAGCTTGTCAGTTGTCATTGAGTATCTCTTTCAAAGCTCTTAGAAACACAGTCGAGTGTTTAATCCACTGTTGAATGTGACACTCTCCTTATAAGTGGCGTACCCAGATGGATTGGTGACTGGTTCAGGAAGGCAGACAAGAACAACGATGGCAGGATGAACTTCAAGGAAGTGCAAGATTTACTGAAGATGATGAATGTGGACATGAATGAGCACCATGCTCTTCGTCTCTTCACAGTGAGAGCCTTTGAGCTAAACACAAAATATGGCTATTCTTGTTAGCAGGAATTCCACATAGAGTGTTTTTTATGGCCATTTTCCTGAGACAACTTGAGGCTGCCTCTCAGGTTTTGATGCCTCTATCCATAGAGCTACAGTGTGTTCCCTTCTCTTCTCTCAGATGGCTGATAAGTCCCAGTCGGGTACACTGGAGGACGACGAGTTTGTGCTCTTCTACAAGATGTTGACCCAGCGGGATGATGTCCTGAGGGTTTTCCAGGAGTACTCTGTTGATGGCCAAAAGTTATCCCAGAGCGACTTGGAGGACTTTCTGAGGGAGGAGCAGCTGGAGGGGGACGACATCCAGCAGCATGCCAAGGAGCTCATTGAGCGCTATGAGCCCTCTGACGCAGGTACAGAATATACTGTACCTATAATACTATACCTTTATCTGATTCTATGTAAGATTATTGTGAAATCCTACCAAGCATACCTTGGTATTGGATAATGTACCATTAAGGGTTGGATTCCAACAATTTGTAAGAAGGTTGACACTTTCCTTCTGTATTTCCAGCCAAGCTGCTGAATGCCATGACATTTGATGGCTTCTTGATGTACCTTGGCTCAGCTGAGGGCTCCATCTTCAACCCACAGCGGCGGGGCATCTTCCAGGACATGAGCCAGCCTCTGTGCCATTACTTTATCTCCTCCTCCCACAACACTTACCTGATGGAGGACCAGCTTAGAGGACATAGTAGTGTGGAAGGATACATCAGGTAAAGCTGCTGGGTTAACTTTCTAAGCTTATTCTGGCTATATTATGTGGCTCTGCTTGAAATGTCTTTGCAACGTTCCAATGACTGCAATAAGTGCCTCACTGACGGCAAAAAAACAAAAGAAATGTGTTGCAACAAAATTAATTTGGACATCCTTAAATAGTGGTATCTTTGCTGTCCATTGCACGTGTCCATCTATAAATCTGCCTAGAAAAAAAAGAAAAAAAGACACTTTTAATTCAGGCCGAGACCTGTCACTTAACCATTTCTAACTAAAGTAATTTAAAAGATGATTCTATCCAAATCCACTTCTGAACCATTTCATAAATTTCCGGGTTTCCCTTAGCGGAAATCCCTACCTCTACTATGCTCCATTGAGCCTCACAGGGGTAATGAGATTTACTGTAACGTTGCTCTGAATTAATCTTCCACCTTTCATCAGTTTTACAAAATTCATTAATAAAATAAAGTAAGATTTCTGACGTCAAATTCTTTCTAAGTGATTAATTCTATTTCATCAAATCTATTAATGCAAACGTCAGTCTGATTACTAACAAAATACATTAACTCATGGCCAGTGTATCTTCTACCCTCCTGTGACCCTGAATGAAAAAATGAAGGATTGAATGAAAGATTGGGTTGTCTTTGCTGCTCAGGGCTCTGTGTCGTGGCTGCCGGTGTGTGGAAGTGGACTGCTGGGATGGTGCCAACGGAGAGCCCATCGTCTACCATGGACACACTTTCACCTCCAAGATACTCTTCAAGGATGTGGTCAACGCAGTGGGAAACTATGCGTTCAAGGTAGCATCACCTGCCTGGTTGTTTAACTATGTTGATTACTGACAGTGTCTAAGTGGATGCAAACTTTATGTTTGATTCAAAAACAAAAAAAGGACCCCAAACATAGTGAAAGATCTGCAATCAGTAACAGTAATCTCAACAAGATGTTTCAATACAAGGATCTTGCCTTGTTCAGACGTGTTCTTGTGATCCTTCTTAGCTTGAAACTTCTATCAGCAAGCAGTTTCAGTTCTTGTCTAAAGTTCTTGTTTTTGTCCATAGCTTGAAACTAGAACATTTATTTTATTTATAATATTTATTTTAGAGGACAACCTTTCAATCCAACCACAGATTGATCATCTTAGATCTTTTTTAATCCTTCCTTGCCAGAGCAGAACATTTGATTATAAGCTTAAAGCAATATGCAGAATCTGTTCTTTCTTGAGTATGATAGCTTTCTGATGACATGTCATTCAAGTTCTTTCTGAAGACAGTTGTATTTGGAACAACACTCTTGATTTCTTTACGTTGCAGAGGTCACACACTCACAGTCCAATTGGAAAGATGATCACACTGGTCTGAATGTGGCTTTTCAAGTAGACCAAGCATGCTTTGTAATCCCCTCATGCTGGCATTGCAATTGTTTTTGCTTTCATTGTCCTGTAAAGCTGTATCAACAAATCGCTCAGCATCTCATTGTAAATTTATAAGAGGGAGTACAACTGTGCAATGATATCCAAGGCATAATCGGAAAGCCCAATAAAGTGAGCTAGCCAGGCATCTGCCACAGAGTGCCTCATGCCAAAGTGAGCAGCTGCCAGGTTCACGTGCATGTCAGAGCCTGCTGTGTATGAGCATCTGTCCGCAACTGAATATTGTGGCCTCATGACCCCTTGTCCATCCATCTGCTGGTCTTTCAGACAGCCAAGCAAAACCTACAGGTATAAGGCAACAGGCGTATTAGCTTTCCCCTATGATAATGCTCTCCAGTGTTAAATTACAAACTCACTCCCTCCCTCCATCCCTCCGCCTCCTCCTCTCCCCCGTCCAGGTATCGGAATATCCAGTCATCCTGTCCATCGAGAACCACTGCAGTGTTGAGCAACAGAGAGTCATGGCCCAACACCTCAACCACATCCTTGGTGACAAGCTACTGAAAAGCACATTAGATGGCAAGGCCCCGATAGGGCTGCCATCTCCTGAGGTGAGCACTACAGTCCATTGTCCTAACCCTACCCCACTCTATGTGGACACGCTGGCTTTACAGTAAAAACAGTGTTTAAGGCTATGTTCAGACAGACAATGCAATGCAACGTCATCCAGATGACATTTCTGGTAGGTTACTTTGAATGCTGTATAGCAACTGGCATTGTTATTTTCAAGCAAACACTCCTTTTTCACACACCTAGTGTTAAAACACACCCCGTAGCTGCCAGTAGTTCTTCATAAGACACTAATTGGTTTGAACGACCTTCGGTTTGGACACAAGCTTGAAGCTTGGCAAGATGGATTCTCACATTTGATCTTGCAAGTCCAGCTGCCTTGCAAGGTTACAAAATGTCTGAAATACAATCCTTGGAAGACAAAGCTTTCCAGGGTAAAATGCCCATCGTCAAGTCCCATCAGTTTCCTGTCATAAAATCTGCCGTAAACTGATCTCAGCATGGCTGTTTGCAACTGTAGTGTGGTCGTGGTGGTGTTAACAGTGGTTAGCTTCTGCTTGGCAGCCCCATCTCACAGTCACCCAGAGGGCACCTTCACTTTCACCCCAAAGCCTGTCAGAGCCTCTTGGGCCATATGATCTGCGTCTACATGCAACACTGGCACCCTGAATTATTCAACACCACAATATTTTCCCCTCTTGCAGTGGAGAATATGTGGCTTTTTTTCCAGTGCCCCCCCCCTCCGGAGGTAAAGCGGGTCATGCTCTAATCAGAAGGTTGGCGGTTCAACATGGCAGCCTCTGCCATCAGTGTTTTAATATGTAAATGTCACATGTTGTGTAAAGCACTTTGAGTCATCGAAAGACTAGAAAGGCACTAAGTACAGTCCATTTACCATTTACATAAATTCTTCTTCTAAATTAAACTTGATGTGAAGGATGACCCTGGGGTTTTGTTTGACCTTCTTTTCAGGATCTTAGGGGGAAGATTCTGCTAAAGGCAAAGAAAATTGGCGGTCTGGAGGAGAGTTTCAACGGGATGGTGGAAGACTCTCTGACCGGAGAGGTCAGCGATGAAGATGAGGTGACTGAAATTGACGAAGACAACCTCAACCGTGAGAGTGTACGCCGCAGGGTTAGGGTAGGTCAGATTGTTTAACACACTTTGGTACACCTGTTTGGCCTCTGACCCAGACAATCTATTATACACAGTCTGATGAGCCAGCCTCATATGGAATCAGGATCCTCTATTTTAGTCATTTTTAGATTGATTATGGAACACTGAGGCCAATCAGGAAGTGGATTTTAGTGAATGGAACGCTTAATAGATTAAGCTGATTAACCCAAAATAAATGCACTCCTTTTGATTAAATGCATCTTGTTAATTACAGTTGGTATTTAAATAGTCCTTTGACTGCACAGTCCAGGTTATTTATTTTATCTCTCTCTCTCTTACAACTGTGGGATGGACTGGAAGGTTGCCCGTTTGAATCCCCATTTGACCCCCCTTAAAAACCCATGTCAAGGTACAACTCTATCACTCCTGAAGTGCTTTTTGATGGCCTCAAGTTGTACTGGGTAGTTCCTAGTTTTAATGTGTGTACCTGTATGAGAAGTAGGATATTGAAGAGCAGAGCAGTTGCGTGACTATTATAGATTATATAAATGTATTAGCATTGTTTGAAATGCAATCAAGCTGTTCTGTAACCTGGTGATGAATGATTCAATTCAATTCAATTTTATTTGTATAGCGCCAATTCATAACTGAAGTTATTTTAGGACACTTTTCAAATAGAGCAGGTCTAGACCGAACTCCTTATAACAATTACAGAGACCCAACAGTACCACCATGAGCAAGCA